TCTGAGTTGAAATCGGATGTTACTCCCTGAGGCACAGGTCAGCACGTCCGTCACGCATCGACGAGACCGTCTGCTCCTCTCAGTTGGAGAGGGATGTTATTTTCTTAAGGAGCAGGATGTTATTCCTAGAGGTCTGCCCCTTGGTAAGGTCAAGAGTAATATTTTATGGTTAATGTTTATGATTAATTTTGGCTGTGGCCTTTCCTTTCAGAATTTCTATGGTGTCAGTTCAAGCTGGTAAGGGGGAAGCTTGACAAGGTTAAGGCGTGAACCATATACTCACTTTTCCTTCCAAAATAAATACTACAACAACAATCCACATGGGAACCAAGCAGTACATTCCTAAATCAAACCAGAAGATGCACACAGGGAAAACTAAAACAGTAGGATCCAAGAGGGTGTTTTTTTGCCTCTTTTTTTAATCCAAAGGATACATTTTCAGAAGAATGCCTTGGGAATTAGCTCAGCACAATCCCAGGAGCAAAAAGGGCAGTTTGGCATCAGATTTCTTGTGCTCACATTGCTTAAAAATTAATATTGCCTCTGCCCTTTTTCTTTCAAAAAAATGTGTGCTAAAGTAAGGTGAATGATTCTCAGCTGTTCAGCGCTGCTTAAAAGAAAAGACAAACTAGAATCACTGTGTGATGCAAGTTTATTTTGAACCCACTTTAATCTTGCTTTTGGAAAAAATCCAAATTTTCTGTCTAGCTTTGAATAGGATCTTCATATTCACATGCAAGTTGTTCTGTTTTTAAGAATCTTAACTCTTCTCTCAGTTTCTGAGGACTCTTGATTTCCCTTCACATTTTTCTTAATGTAATTGTTTCACAATAGACTCACAGATGGATTTGGTTTGATATTTTAGAAGATACTTAAGACCAGAAGAAATGGGGCCTTTCTTTTAAAAGCTTAAGGTGCTTTTTCTATTGTTAGGACACAGTGTATGGTCCCATAATTTGCTTTCTGTGGCAGTATCATCAAATGGAGAGGAATGAGTAGAAAGAAGATGTATTTTCGTGATATCGTTATAATTGCCCACAATATGTTATTGTATAAGCAATAAAGATGACATATTTCAGAAGTGTGTGTATGAAGAAGTCTCAGAAATCCTTCTTGGATCGGCATCATCATTTTGGAGTTATGGAATGTATATCATAAAGCAAATAAAAAAAGATCATTGTAGGAGAGATGCTGATGACGACTGTAAATCACTGTAAATCAGGAAACAAGAACGTTCACATGGCTAAACACATCCTTTCTCTCGCGCTCGCTCGCTCTCTCTCTCCCTCTAACTCTTGCCTCTTATTTACTAGTAGGAACTGATTTCTGTAGTCAGAGAATACCTTTCACATTGTGCTTTCCTTTAAGATTCTAAGATGCTTATTAAATCTTTCAAATCAAAATTACTGAACTCCAGACTCTAAGAGGAATAATGCATTGGGAATTCATACACCTCAGACATCTGGGGAAGCTGGATAAACGTACATGAAAGTAGCAGAAAGAGGAAGACACTAAAACAGGGAGGCAGAAAGAGGAAGACTGAAAAAATTACAAACAGGAAACAACACAAAAAAGGAAAGGAGAGAAAAGTTGCATAACACACTGAGATTGAAGAAATTATACCCCACCCACTCCTTGCCCTCTTTTTAAGATGCTGCACAAGGTTTTCATGATGGCTCAGCATGCCTAAAGAAGTTTCACTCAGAAACAGTAAGTTATAAAACTTAAATCACCACTCTCTGCTTTTGAGCCTGTCTTCAGCTGCAATCTGTAGGCTGCAGAGCTTTAGCGTATCTTGTCAAAGATACACAGGAAGTACTAACTTGAAAATCCTAACTTTTCTTAAGTGTGCGGGAATTGTCTATGTAACAACTGACAGCATTACTTCCAGCAGTAGCCAATACCTCATACAACCTAAATGGAAACAAGAAACTTCTGAAGCCCATACACCTCTTCATTCACTGTCTTACAGAAAAGATGTGAACATTTATGAAAATATCACAGTTCATTTGCAAGATGCAAAAAGCTAGAGCAAATAAACAAAATCAAATGAAACAGTCATGGAAAAAGCAAAACCAAGACCTGCAAAATAGAATGTACTTTTTTTCACCTTCCCCAAAAATACAGCATGAAGTGAAAGGCATGTATCCTATTTAGCTGTCTTTGTGGCTTGCACTTTTTGCATCTGGAATCCCTTGGTCTGTTGACTTTCAGTACTGGCACTCTGAAGACCAGCAATTGCTTTGTTTGACTTAGTGTATTTATCAATATTTGCACTGTTAATTTTATTATTTTGCAAAGCACCTTGGGATGTGCCTCATGAAAAAAAACTGCACATAGAACTCACCAGTCTGCTTTGATTACAGTTGTCTCAGAAGTAAACCTCAAATGCCACTGTCATCAGTTCATTTACTTTTAAATTATTTCAATAACCACTACAGTATTCCAATTATTAATATAATATTTATTTTGTTCCAACTATCCTTTCTTGAAATAATGGGTGTATGAAATTTTTACTGTATATTCTAGATCCCTGTAGGTTAATTTCTTTTGTCATATAAATAGTATGTAAGTATAGCTTGTATAAGATATATATAATATACCTATTTATTTATTTCTAACTATATTCACATGCACATATATAATAAAAATAAGTTACAAAGAGGTGCATGGTTTTATCTACAATTTTAACCCCCATAGATAAATGGTTGTAATATTTACAGGTCTACATTTATACAATTGAATTGTATAAATCTCATCTGCCTATTAACTAGAAGCAGACAATTGGTATTACAGTATTTAACAGTAGTGCAACAGAAATTCAATCTGTAGTTAAGAAATATCACTTTTCAGTAATGCTAGAGCTGAAATATACAAACAATTAAACAATGAAGATTTCTAGAGCATATAAAACAAGGTTTATATCAGATGAGAGCTTTGAACATTTGAAACAGTAGCCTTTATTTTAGAACTTTAGGGTCAGGGGACTTCTGTTCAACCTGGGTGTTATTATGTAGGTTTATTCTTGCAAATTCACTTCGTCTGATGTATTTGCTTCCCTGCATATTTCACCTTCAGGATAACTGGCTCAGCACTACAGCAAATACTGCTGTTTGGCTAGATCGTGTGATGTGCTGAAAGATTCCTGGATTCCATGAGGCATAAGGCCAATTCAAGAATTTTAGGACTCCGGCATTACTTTTAGGCTGGAGGGCCAAATTTAGGTGCTGGCTGAACACTAGATCGGCGTTCTGAACTACTGGTCATGTAGATCAGCAGTCCTGTCATTGATTTCTTGGCAAAGCACTCATTAATATCAGTAGGATTCCAAGCAAAAAAAGCTTGTCACATCCATCTGCTTAGTAGTATACCACTTCATTGTGTTAGAAAAAATAAGCAATAAATAATAAGAGAATGACCAAGAGAGCAAGTGTCTCTCTAAAATAGATTACTCTGGCTTAGGTCATTTTAGTTAGGATGACCTAACTCTTTACATATGCGTTAATAGTTCCGTGACCACCTAGGCATTTCAAACAAGCATGCTCATTGTTGTGGCATTTAAGTATGCATCGTGTCTTCCCAATAGCTATCTCTACCTTTCTCTTCTACAGAAAAGTGATTGTAAACAGTTCTTCACTTCTAGTTAATGTCTAAATCTTGGCTATTATTTCTATTTGACATCTCCTACCTATTTACATAGCTGAAATCCTTGTTCAGGCTCTTGTCCATTCCAGTCTTAATTAATACGATATTCTCTTCTGCAATGAGAAAGGCAATTTTGCCCGGCTTAGAATGCTGTTGTAAAGGCAATTTCCCAAGGCATTGTTTTGATCATGTAACTGTAGATGTGTTCAGTATCTCCACTGACACCCTCTTTTGAGTAGATTGTCATGATTTTCAAGGTTCTTCATAGCTTATCTTTGCCTTGCTAATCATTTCTTCCTCTCTATTTAGAGATGATTCCAACCTCTGATTGGCTAAGGATAACAATTTTCAAACAAGCATACTAATGCTATTCTCAGAAACATCTACAAAAGAATCAAATTCTATTTTAAATTTCTGTGATGCCAACAAAAAACTTGATGCTGTTCAGCGTACAGAAATTTAAAATAGACAAACAACAAAAAACTTGATGCTGTTCAGCGTATATAGCAGTCTTCAGACAGTTGCCTACCATGCTGACCAAGATGCTTTCAGTTTCTGTACTCCCTCAATGGTCAGTTGCTATTATTTTATACTTAACATGTAAACATTTTCTGTTCCAACTTTACAGAAAATGCAAGAAAGATCCCTAATGGTCCACAGTAATGTTTCCCAGGGTAACACAACTAACACTGAAATATAGAGAAAATGATAATGTTATGTACAGATTTTTTTTCCTTAGAAAATGAAGCTCAAATATTAGACAGGAAAGATACATACTTTTGAGATACTATTTTATCTATTCATTTGATATTATGTCATGGGTTATTAAAAGTCATTTAAGAGTTTTTCAATATCATATAATTGGAAATGTCATAGGTTGCCAAAAGTAGCATCAGAACTAAAGGAAATCTACATCCACAGCAGTGTGTGCAAACTGTTTGAGACACAAACAAAATCAACATTTATTAAAATACCTTCAACAAATTTATATTTGCAAGCCACATATTTTAATTCTTTGCAGCTTTCCAGAACAGACTCTTTTTAACAAGCGCACTGGAACTGGAATATTAGCTGTATCAGTGAAGCAGAGTAAGTAAAACATGTCACCTAGACAGAATTATCTAAGCAGAGAAACCTACAGTATCTAAACAATATATTTTACATACAAAAATACAATTGATAAGATGAACAAAAGTACTGAGGAGGAAAATACAGGTTTTTATTTACAGAGAATGGCTCCATAAGAATTTAGTTTAAAAATAAATACTCCATTCCATTACTTTTTACAAAGTTAATCATATGCACATCTTGTTTTTTGAGAAAATTAAACTTTCAGACATACAGTAGAAACACACACACACACACACACATATATAAAAAATATATATTATTATTACAATGTGAAGGGGGAAAAAGCATCTCCATCTAATTAGCTTATTCTTTTTGGACATTTATAACATATTTAGTCAAGAACTACCCAAAGGAGTTTGATTCCTGAAAATAAAATACTAAATCATACTAATATTCCATTATTTATGCCATACATTTTGTGGGATGAGGAGTGCAAACTTGAGCCCAATTCAAATGACAGCAAATATATTACTTTTGAGTGTATGTGGTAACATTTAGACAAAACTTTGATTTTATTCAAGCAAACCTGATACAGACATGAGAGACTAAGCCCTGTTAAGTCTGTGAAACTTGCTAGGTACACACAGAATATTAATAGCACTTCTAAAGAATATGCCATTTTGCTACATCTTCAAAGAAAAGTCAAACGGCCAAAGAGGCCCATATTTTGATGGTTTTGAGTCATATGGAGAGAAGAGAGGAAAGAGTACCAACAACAATAATGTTCAACAGTACAACTATTCAACTCAAATGATTGGAAAGGAAAACAAAAAACATTTTCAAAATATCTAAATAAAAGTTGAAAATCATACTGAATCCTACTAAAAACATTTTCTGGAGGCCAACGCATTCCTCCCAAAATAATCTTTCTCAGTTTTTCCTTCCTGTAACATTTGAACATGGCTAAGCTTTTAGCTTTATACTTCAGAGAGTAATAGCTGAGTGTTATTGTATACAAAATGACAGGGTACATTTTCAAAATCAAAAAGTACAAGTTGAAATCACCTTTTCAAAGCAATCTGGGCATTTAGAAGCCTAAGCCCTACTGAATGGTTCCAATGTGCCTAAATTACTTTTGAAAACTAGATGTAGCCTTCCTGTGTTGCCCCATATGATATTAAAATTTTACTAATTCTACTCCCACATGTATATGGCTCTCTTGCAATTTTTTTTGGACAGGGCAGCTTTTGTTCTTGAGGCTGATATACCTGAAAAATGGAGTGTCATTATAATTAATATATATTTAGGAAAGTTATACCAATAATTCTGTTTCCCATGGGCAACTTACTGCCAGTTATCATGAGAATTATTCTTTTTTTCTCCCGAATTCCCCGTTGCCCCTATGCCAGATGGTACGTTGGATAGTGAAAGTATAACAAATAAATAAGAAGCAGAAAAAGAGATATTTCATACTCCACCTGTTCTGTCAGTCATCACCACTGAGAGTTGCACAACATCAAACCCCAAATCCCCCTCTTCCCCGTTTCATTGCCAATGAAATAATATAAAGTTCATTGTTTAGCAGCTCGTTGGACTCAACTGCTCCAAGGACTTTTTTTTTCCTTTTGAATTATGACTCTTTTTGGTGTTGAAAAATATGCCAACTGTAGCCGGAGAAATACATTCAGCCTAGCAACAAAGAAATTTAATTTAAGTATTTGCTCTTCAGGAATGTTCGCTATTCACACTTGAAAGAGGCATTTTACAGGGTACCAATTTGGCTGGGCAGTCACAGCTTTGCTGAGGGCTCCTACAAGGAAACAGTACTTTTAGCAAGTCTCCATATCCATCTCACAGTTCATGAGCTTCCTCTTCCTTTGCAACAGGAATCAGTGACAATTGAAAATCAGTGCAATATGACAAGAATTCATTTCATTGACATGTCTTCTCTGACCTTGACACCTGAAAATCTGTTCAATCTCCCTCTCGAGTCTCTCTCTTTTTCAAGCTATACGCAGATAAATCTGTACTGTTCAGGTTATAGTAGCTAGCAGCAGGACCTGTTGAGTATGCACAGAGTTTGAATCTTTTACCTAACAGTCAAGCCTCTTTAGATGCTTGTCCAAGACAAGCTGGCTTGATTATGTGATATAATCGCTTATTTAAAACAAATAAAAAACCCCCCAACCCTTCAACAGGAAGTGAGGACTTCTTAAAATGAAAATCCTTTAGGAAGAAATAGTGACTTTTATATCACTTTCAAGGCACTTTTTCCCAGCCTTTTAGCTTTCAGGTATGTTACAGAGTCTCTTTACTTGGCGCCTAGATAGGTCATGGAAAATACGTATAAAATATAATGTCAGAAGACTTGATTCTTATGTCTTTTGACAAGATATAATTCTCATATCACAGACATTTTTGGTCTCAAAGAGAGCAAAGCCTCGATTACATAACTAAATGCTCAAGTTCTGTCTCTCACAGAGACAGCCTTTCTTTATTCAAATTCTAAGGAAGAGAAATGCATGGTAACATTGTATTGGTTGCCTAATTATTTGAAACTGAGCTGTGGTCAGCTTAGGTGAATTAGCGAAGTTCAACTCATGCTCAGTAAAGTCTGAGTAAATCTTCATTGTGTCTTGGAAGCTAAACGACCTCTCCTCACCCAGTAGTTGAGCTTTTCTTTTTTGACCTTTAGCAACCAGTTTTGCAAGTATGTGCGTTTATTGTTGATAAAAGAAAGACAGTGGGGAACTCTATGAACTGCTGAGAAAAAATGATGACAGGGCAGGAGCTCCTCACGCTAGTTTGCTGAATTTGAACATTATGGGGAACCTTTAAGGCAGGAGATTCATACCTGAACCCTCTAATTTCTTCACAGCCATTCTAAAACACACTGGACTGTAACATAAAGTGAATGACTGGAATGAATAAAGGAATCAGAAAAAGTACTTTTTTCCCACAAAGAATGAAAAAACGAGTTTTATTCCTTCAGCCTTCTGTCAGATATAAAAGAAATACAGAACTGTGATCCTGTTCCATTTTGATTCATCATCAAATGGTATCTTTCCCCCTAAAACCTAGAAAATATCTAGGTCACAAAAACATACACTAATACAGAAGCAAAAAGTACAGGAAGTATAAGACGAAGAATATGGCCTTTATCCAGTTTTTAGTGAATAACATCAATACATTCATTAAACGATTTTACAACTGACTGAAAAATAAGCAGTATGTACTATAAAATATTTGTATTTATTCGCTGACTGTGGATGTTCCAGACAACAGGAGATGGCACTGTCTCCTGTGATCTCTACATAGTTACTGCAGTTTCTACAACATGCTATCTGCGGATAGTTACTTATGACAAGTCTTTGTCCAAGTATAATGGAATATATTTACAGCATGTCAAAGGAGAAGATAAAAAAAAAACAGTACTATATGCTTGATCTATCTGGGAGAAGCCAGGGAGAGAACGTATTATTGGAATTCTTCTAATGAGCAATTCACATTTCACAAAAAAGACTGACAAAAATCATCTTGTTGCAGATTCCTAAGAACATTTAATTAACACCATCAATCAGTGCACAGGCACTACAGTTCCTCTTTCTTGAACAAATCTTTTAAAGTCCCTTGAGCTTAACCTGTAAGGATGCTGTATGTCAGAGCGAATACGCTACATGAATCTCAAACTGTGTCAGTACGCTTCAGGAATCTTTGTTTCTCAAATAAATGACAGTTTAATGGGTATGAGAACACAAAACTCCCCATCTTCAGGATTATATTCTGCCCCAGCTAACTTGTAACTGCAGTGAAGACACTAGCTACCAGTAATGACAGAATCTGGCCCTAAACTACAACTACTAGTTTATGATTACACAAGGCTCAGAACCCAGATGTTGTAGCAGCTAAATTACTTCTTACCTCAATGAAAATACTAGGGTTACTGGCAGGGCACTACTGGGAAACTTGAAATGCAATGGCCTGTCTGCACCTTGTTAATGGATCTTTCTTTTAACAGTTTTCATTGTAGTCAGCTTTTCAGTGAACACAGCACAGTAAAACTGTATGAAAATATAAAGGCTCCTGTTCAGATTAAATTATCCTATGAGCAATAAAAACATAGGCACAGAATGCAGTTGCTATAAGAATGCAGAATTTCTGAAATATACAGAGTCTAATTAAAAGGTACAAACAATTACTATACAGTATTTCTGCTATTTCAAAAGATTCTGCTAGTTGGTACTTTAATCTGGAGATATAACTTATGATATAACTTCTCTTCCCTCTTTGACAACGTACAGTCCTGACTGTATTTTCCAAAGTCTCCATTCCAAGAGTCCCTGGGGCAACTGTGGCCCAGGGAATCCAAGTGCAGTGTAACACCACAGAAACCATGCTGTAAGGAATCAATGGCTAATGGCAAAGATTCCATGCAAACAGCCTTGTCCTTGCGTCTCCAAAAACTTCCAGAGCTCCAATATTTACCTTGTAGGGTGAAATTCATCCACCTTGAACAAAGCTTGCATAACTGGACCTTCCGCAGGGCACTAAGCAGAGCTTAGTGGTGGAAATAATTCCTTCTCAAAAATCACAGGACGACTGAGGTGTTGCAACGCAACCTGTATCTAGACCTAAGGTGAGAACAGTAGTACCGATGTTTCGGAGCAGTAAAGAAACCTTTTCCTTTCCCTGTGTTGGCTTGTTTTTACATGGCAGGTAGCTTTTTATTACATTCCAAGAATGCACACACTTTTGGAAGCAGGTCTAGACAAACCTATGTGGTAAGAGTAAACAGGACAGTATACAAGACCCCCGTAGCAGACAAGCATTTTTAAAGCTAGTTAAAAATATGTGAGATCACTTTTTATGGAAAAAGCTTTTCATAAAACTAGTTTAAAATGGTTCATTAGACACTCTAGAGACATCTTTTTATAGCAAAAATGTACAATTTTCTCCAGTGCTGTTTTCCCCTCAAAAATTGAAAATGCTACACAGTATATGTGTACCACATTTTCACTAAGTGAAAAAAACTAATAATTTTAGTAATGTTTCCAAGAAGCAGATTTTTGAAAATTAAAAAAAACTGCAAAAGAAAAAAAAGAGAGAAAATAAATATTGGTCATTCAAGCATTTTGAACAAAAATTGCAAAAATAATTACTTTTGAACAGCTCTATCAATTTTGCTTGCATGTTTTGAACTTCAGATCTCTGATATAATTGTACAAAATTGTCACAGTTCAAACCCTATTGTGCGGTGCAAAAGTCTGGTTATGATATTAGCAGGCCATATCTAACAATTCACCAACAGGACAAACCATTCAATAAATTTTGCTTCACATTAGCCATAGCCATGGTAAATGACTTGGCATATGCTCAAAATCTTCAATCGATGCTAGGAAACCAGGTTTCTGTGTAGAATCACATTGTGAAATCTGACATGCCAGTTTTCTCAGAGCTAGCTTGGGGGTCTCCAAAACAGCGTCGTATTCTTCAGCATATAAATTCGGCATGTTGTAGCACAAGATGCAATAGACAGATATTAATCAATTAATAATTTGAAATACAAATACATTTACGTTTAACATTTCAGAATAATTTCTTGCATTATGTTCTACACCACACTATTTGTGACATTTTAAATTTAAAATCACAACAAAATGCTCATCTTGCTTGGATAAGAATTTTCCAGCAATCATTATTTTATTAGAGTTTTTTAGAGCTTTATAGAAACTGATCTAAAATGACATACTTTCAGATTTTCATGCCTGGAGGGATCATGTGAACTGGTAAGTCAGAGGATATAGAATGCCATTTAGGTACATCTCAACTGAGTCCAATAAGCTGTATTAGACACAAACCTTTCAGAAAGCTCTTCTATCCTGATTTGAAAGCATCACAACTGGGAAATCCACAACTACCTTTGTGAACATCTTCCAGTGGTTAACCAACATCATTACTAATAGTTTGGAATTTATTCTTATTTTTAATTTGTCTGGTTTTAATTTTCAGACTTTTGTGTGTGGTATTTTTCCTTGCTGGCTCAAGGAGCCATTTAGTTCCTAATATTTTCTTTCTTTGAAGCAACTTATTCACTATAATCAAGCTACCTTTTCCTTTTCCTTTTTATTTATTTTCCTTACATTTATATGCAAATAGGTAGGCTTATCTTCAAAAGAAGAACGCCAAAGAGAACTTTCCAGACTGCAAATCCTGAAACCCACTAACAGGCACTAATGAATTCCAAAGAAGTGAAAAAAAAGGAACAAAAAACTGAGATCCATAACAAAATTGAACAAGATCCAGACAAGGCCAAGAATGAATAAAAACTAAGGTGGATGTGATCTTCTAAAATTATAAGCTTAGACTGGTACCTAAACACAGATTATGGAGTTAGACTTTCAAAAACACAGCAATGATGTAATGAGATGAATATTTCTAACTTGTTTGGGTATTTCTGCAATTCCTCACCCACACAAGATTAAGGCATTCATTTCTAAGATATTGACCTAAAGCAAAGAAGAAATGATATTACTGAGTAAATACAGAGTCTCTTTCACTGTTCTCAGTATTCATCCACTAGGAAAGATATTTAAGGATAAGAAAAAAATTGCTATTGATTTACTGCAAAATCAAGACAATAAGCACACTGTGCAGCAAATAGACAACAAAACATTTCTTGCACGTTCCATGTAAGACTTTTAGCTAGACTGATCAGAGATATCCTAGATATTCAAACTTGGTTGGAGGAGATATCCTCAGCAATTCAGAAAGGCTGAAATCCTAAGTAAACTTTATCCTTCAAAAAATTGCTTAAAATGTTCTGTTATTTTTCTGTCTGGTTTCTGAACATTCCAGTCATGGTACTTTAATTTTCCATAGGTACAGAAACTGAAGACCATACAGTTTCTGTTTTGGTGCAAAAAGATTCTAATTTAAATAAATAAATACAACGTTTTTCAACTGATAAATTTATAACTCTACAATAAATCACACAGTATAAAACGTTTCCATGGCTAGTCAAGGCAAATCACCTGGATAATTTTCATAGACTAATAAAAACATCACGAAAATATAACTCATACTGTTAAATATCTCCAAGGTGCTAAAAGATGCTTCATTTTAAAATCAGTAAGTGACAATACTGTAAATAAGTTAAAGAGTGCTTCACAGATTATTAAGACTTATGCTTCTATATTGATTTTTTTCCTAATAATACATTTTATAAATCAGCAATGTATACCACTTTCCTGGGCAGTAAGTACTTCCTGTGTAATATACTTTTTTAACAATGCTTTGCTTTACAAAAAGCTTTGAAAAGCTTGACAATAATGATAGAGTTAAAAAAAAAAAGTTACATCTATTGTGTACTCACAGAACTAACTTGTGTGTTACAATGAAAATAATGTCTCTAGGCTGTCATCTGATTTTCTGAGACTGCTGAAAAATATACTAAGTTCTCAAAACTGAAAACTGATAGTTCGGAAAAGAATTATAAGTCTGATCAATCAATGCTTTACATCAATAATTTTAATTTTAATCCCTTTTTGTATACATTATTCAACATTTCTAAATGAAAAGTCTATTGGAACTGAAAAATGAAACTTCATATTAAGAAATTCTGAAACGGGATACACCAAAATTTTAAAGCCTTTTTTACATAATATACTTCCAATGAGAATTTTCAAGACCAATCCTTTCTCACAAACACTACTAGTCTTGTTGATTGATTTTTCAAGTAAAAACAGTTCACTGAAAAATTCCCAGTCAACTCAAATGGCAACACCATCTTCATGCTAGGTAGAAAACCATATCAAAGCTGTACTCAAAGACTCATCAGAACTGTCTTGCTTACTGTTATTCTTTGGCTTGCATAAGCATTATTGCTCCTGTTTATCACTAATAATATCGGAAATAAATGTATTTTACCTATTTGGTGGAAGACTGAAAACTTAGATCTTTGGAATTTACTTTTCTTCAATGGGAATACCTAGCAAACTTTTTTTCCCCACAAATGTCCTCACTAATAACAAAAAACAATATTAAACTACAAATTAGTTTATCTTTGCTGGTCTACTATTGACTGCTTTCACATGAATTATACCTACAAATCTCAAGAGTTTCTGTAGCAGCTAGAAATTCCAAAACATACAGGGCAAATTTGATTCCCTTATTTTTATTTATGCAGGAATGACAGACATAATTATTTTAAAAACCTGCAATATATGAAATCTTCAAGTTACATTCATGAATGGGGTCTCCATAACTGCTGTTTTCTTTAGTAAGCATACATTTCTAGTGCTGACTTTACCCTACGTTTCATCGCAGATTCTCTAATTTGCTATGCAGATAACCCAAAATGTTTCTCTCATGTATATTCTTTCTGTCTACTAAAGCAAAGGATTAATGCCTTCTCCCTGCTATCTTTTTGTACTTTTTTGCTTCACCTAATTTCTCTATTGCTCACAAAAATTAGATACCCTTATCAAAAGAAAGGGAATTTCTTCCTTATTAACAGCAATTAGAAGTATGTTTTCTCCAGTTTGTTGTTCCCATTTATAGGCCATTACTGTACTTGTATTTAACTCCCTTTTTTGTTTCACCTTAAACTAATTCCTGCTGCAAGACATCTCCTTAAATGCAGTAAAAATCTTCATGTAACAGTGGATATTCTCTAGGTTTTTTCAGGATCTAAATATTACTTTATACGCAATGGTTATAATGTTCTCTGATGACAGAAAGAGTCTCTTATTTCTTCCCTGACACTTAATTCATACAAATCCAGGGAGACAAGAGTGGGCTGCAAAATATGTTTTAGAGTGAGATATTCACTGTTTGAAAGAAAGCTGTCAATAGAATTGAAAACCCGAGATGTAATGATGAATGTATGACTTTAGGGAGATACATTATTGTGTTTCAGTTCAGTGAAAAATGACTAATAAATACATTATTTTATGGAGTTGATGATAGTTTCACTACACAGTGAAATAAAAATATATATTTTTATCATTTTTCTTTTGGAGTTCAGAATGTAGGAAATGTTAGGCCAAAACCATAAAAGTAATGAATCAGTTATGCCTTCACTCATACAACTACAGAATTTGAAGCTATTCCTTTCAAGTGCAAAATATTGTTTCCATTTCAACGTATGACATAAGCTGAGGCTTCTATAAAAATAATTATATTAAAATACAGAATAAATCTATTATTACATTTAATCAGTTTTAGAAAGATGCATCCAATACTTAGACACTATAAAATTACTTAGCATCAATCTATTTTACCCCAGTTACTACTGAAGTAACAAAATATACGGTGTAATAGTCTCTTGTGACCTGAATGGCATATTTCCTATCATCTACACAAAGCCTCTGTAAATAATCTACAGGTTGTTAGTCATTACTTAACTCAGCATCTAAAATTCTGATATTAGCTCTTCCATATTAAAGCATTATGCATAGAGTACTTCAAATAACTATTAAAAATTGATACATTTTAAGCAATGTAAGGAAGAGTAACAGAAAATCATTTAGAATTTGCATGTAAACAACTTCTAAGAGAATTCTCTCTACTGAATGTACAAACCCCTCTGAAGGAACTGAAAAATCTTTAGTGGATTGTCTTGGAACAGATCAGCAAAGCAGAATTCAACATCTAATATAAGGTGCTCCCTGGGGAATGGGCATAATAAAGCATCATGCAAGGTATTAAGTCACACACTCATTATTTTCATGTGTCTTCTTTCAGTTGGTGGTCACACTGGCTTCCTTCTGACGTAGTCTTTCTTTCTGTTGTTTAAGAAAAGAAGAGTTTTATTATCATTCTTTTCTCTAATTTTCCATCTGCTCTCAAGCTGCCAGAAGCATGTGGTCTAGAATACTGAGAAGTACGGAACTAGTCATACCAGATTAGAGTTTTCTTTAAGTCAAAAAAATTAATTCCTGGAGCACTTAAGGAAGGCTTAGAACCAGTTTATTACTTATTACAGAGAAACGGAGTTTACTTTCGCTACAGATTTATCTGCTGCCTGTCCTGCAACTGATATGCTCTTCCAGGAATGGAAATAATACACTGATTCCTTCGTGTACATCTCCTTCCCTTGGTCTCTTGTTCCTATAGTGTGAGATGCTACTATAACTTATGTATCCTGCACACAGACAATAAAAGGTTTTGATCTCCACCCAAAGGGAATGCAGTGTAAATTATTAGTCCTCTTTTTGTGTCCTATCAAAAAAAAATGGGGAAGAGCATGGAATAAAAGGGGAATTTAATCCCTTCTGCCATTATTCACCAGAGCAAACAATTTTTGTAAGGGTTTGAAGAAAACAAAAGGCTTGGACATTGGACAAATTTATACAGTGAGCCCCAATACACTAAACAGCATGAAAAAAAATACAGGAGATTTTAGTGGTGGGGGAAGGAACCAGAAAAGCAGTTCTTGTCATATCTTGATATCTAAATTAGCAGAGCCATGCTTAGCTACAGCTAAACTAAGTTTTGTACTTAATTGTTGAACTACTACAGGCATAAGTGTAAAGATTTTTCCTTGGGAAGAATATTAATCTGCTACATTCAAACTGACTAAGCATACTACATCACAGTTCAACAAGAATGAAAAAACACCATAATTCTGAATGACAAGAATACTGTAACAAATAATATTCTGAATGTCATGCTGAGAAATACATCATACCAGGCTGGCTGTAGGATTGATTTTCTTCGTTTCAACTTTCTTCTCTGCAGTTAACTTGCTTACTGATTGCTGAGCCACTTTAATTCTGAAACAAAATATACAGAGATGACTTCATTAGATTCAAAGAAACTGAAATTCTTCTACCTCTGATTAGTACACACCTCTACCTGCAAGAACCACTTCCACTGCCTTCTTTAGGCACATTAGCTCAAGAAACTGCTAATTACTACTCAAAGGCACTTAATAATGTATTAAAAGCAGGCCAGAATACTTTTATGACCTAGGTGAAAATCAAAAGCAAAAGGACAGTCTGTCTTGCTCACTGAAAATCTCAGGAGGCAAATGGTTTCTCCCGTATTGTTCTCTATGCAATATATAATTTATAGAATTTATCTGAAATGAAGTCAAAACAGCCGCAGTGTGAAAGTAAGAGGACACTCCTCTTAAAAAATCAAAATCTAGCTGGCTAGATCTCTTCTATATGCAGAATAGACTATTTTAGTATATCTTATGTTGATTTGATTACACCATACTATCTTTCATTATGTCTAATTAGTATTTTTCTGGACATCATATTGACCATTTGCTAGGTTACATATTCCAGTTCCTCTGAAAATCTTGAAATGTCAGGTTTTCTTTAATGCTTTCTCCATTGCTTTAGATGGAATTGATTGACCAACCAAGTGATGTGGGGATTGGAGGAAAGGTGAATTAGAAGACGTTCTTGTCTAGGGACTTTTGAAACAGCCTTGCAGGCAGCTAAAGGCCAATCTACTAAAAGTACTATTGAGATAAAGGGAAAGAAGAAAATTGATCTGATTCTCTATTCTTGCCTTTTACTCGTAGGGTCTTGCAGGCAGAATCCTTGTTTCATTTGGGACTTAACATTGAGAACCCAATCAGAAGTTCAATCAGAAGGAAAAGGAGAACAGAGTTTAGCAGATAAGGACTTTGCTCTCTTCTCCTATATACAGAAGAGAGAGCAGGGGAAATTATGTCCCAAACAGTGATAAAAAGGAAGGAAAATTCTTGACACTCCTAAGATGGGATCTGTCCAGCTATCAGTACCTTTAAATGTTGATGCTAAGGACACCCAGTTTATACTTCCATATTTGAAATGCAGAGGGAAAGAAGTTGTAAGTGAGTTTTTATTAGCAAACAAGCAAAGAAAACTCAGTAATCCAGTCTTCACTGATGCACACCAAATCAGTCTTTTCCTACAAACAACGCATTTCTTGGCACTCTGCAACTGACAAATTCTACTTTCTTCTCTAATTTAATTTTTTCCCCTAGTAGAAATAATTGTGCTGTGGCTAGTCAAAAAGTATTTAAAATACCATGTCCAGTTCAAACCACTTTTGACACACTCAATTTTTGAGGAATTTTGGAAGAAAAGCAAAAAGGAATGTGGATTATAGCTGCAGTTACTGATGTGCACTTCCTTCCTCACTGTAATGCTAGCAGCAAACTAGATTCTGGACAACTTTTTAAAAATATAAAACATACTCATAAATTCATTATTGTGCTTATCAGTGTTCAGCAGTGGAACCTAACGGTCCTTGTCCAAGCTACGCATTTTGGAAACTTCCATTGGGTAGTTACTGGTGTTTGTGATTTCTCACTTTTCAGTGCTTAAGAACAGAAGAAACAGTAACATCACTTTTAAGAAATCTTATTTCCACCACTGTTTAGCTACTACATTGATTCAAGCTAAAAGTAAACCCTCAAATACACACATATGAAATTATTCTTCTGTACAGTTTTTAAAATATCTGTAGTCTATTTAATACTCAATTAGTTTTCGCTGTATCTACAAATTTTCTTCCCTATTTTGATCACATTTTCTTTTCAGTCACATTCTCCTTGGCCCTAGGACTATTCTCCAAATAGTTTTTAAACATTCAGAGTCCACATTTTCATCTGAAGGGAGTATTCTAGGGATTATAAACTTTTACACTTAAAAAGAACAGTATGCACTTCACTGACTGAGGCCTAGCTTTGATCTGTGTATTTTATTCCATAGTTGCACAATTTCCAGGAAACCTATTAGAATTTTTAAATAAAATGTATAGTTTAGAATACAAAATAACAACATGATTTGAATCAAGTGATATTTGGCTCATAAAAATGACAGACTAATTATATGTTGCACTTTGGTCTCCTAGGGGAAAAAAAAAATCCCTTTGCTAACATGTGATTGATAAGATTAGCAGGCATTCTCAGAAACAGGAGTACATAATTGAAGATGAACATAATTCTTCAGGATTTTTTTTAAAGTCAGCTGGCTCTAGTTTTAAGAAAGTGGTTAGCTCAGCAATTACTTCAGTCAAGTACTCTCACTGTAGTGGCACCCTATAAACAAAAATAGCTCCTTGCCAAACATGGAGAAGATCCTAGAACCAGCTATTTGGTTTTGAAGCATCATTCTTGAAACAAGAAAAATGAAATAATACAAAACTATCCAAATTCCAAATCATAAAACATGTTAGTTAAGGACAGCAAAAGTTTAATCTTCATATTCCTGTCCATTATTTCACTTTCATGAAAAAAAAAATCTTCTAGAAATGAAAATGTAATTTCAATTGTCCATGAAAAGTTATGATAGCCTTCCATCAAAACTTACACACACAATATTCTTTACCCTCATCTAGAGTAGAATATGCGCCCATTTGATAGCGTCTGTTCCTGAAACAGACAAGTAAAATCAATGTCACACACTTTATGACTAAAAGAACAATTAACTAGTGACTAGACAAACTTAGTTAACTCAGCTAAGGTATGTCTCTTTTCTGTTGTCTTTTTTTTTTTTTTTTTTTTTTACAACTTTTCCTTAGTACAAATAGAAGTGATGCTGCCATTTTTACAAATCAAATACTATCATAACTTTGCCTGAAAAGCTCTTCAGTAAAATACTGAAAATTAGAAGTAAGGTCTAGAGATGAATATAGTACAAAAAGAGCAAAACTACAAAAAAAGCACATTTGAAACGACAGAACTCAACTCCTTATTATCTTCTGTTGTTCTTTTAGACACATACATTGTGTTACTAACCAACCTGCAGATATAATACATAACATACTATTATTTTTAATTAACTTCAAATAAACTATTAAATGTGTTATAAAATTCTTTAAGGTGTTAAATGTAGCTTATGAGAATTTATATAGACTTAAATTGTTGAACTTCTTCCTACAAAAGTACAAACTTCCTTGGCTATTGTTAACTGTTCAACAATTACTTGTTCAAATCTATTTATAGCAAAACAAAAGCTAAGTGACAGAATGTCAAAATGTAAATTAAACGTACGTGTCATTCTTTTAAATTTCCCTTCTTCCTTGAGAGTAACTCAACAGAGAGCAATGGTCAATATTAGATACTAATGAAGGTGGCCAATTTTAACATTGTATGCTTTATAGAAATCAGGTGAAAAGGAAAAGAATTTGTGAGAATACGGGAAATGCAATGAAGCCTTGTGTTCCAACAAAATAGCTAAGAAGAATTCAAAAACATTACTAAAATATTTACCTTAGTAACTAACTAGTGTATAAACAGGTGTTGAGTTTTGTAAAGTAAGGGCTTAAAATGCTTACTCCATCTTGCTTGAGCTCATTTGTTAGACGAATATTAAATGAGACACCAACTATAAGTTGGGAGAGGATGCAGAGTCTTACCTAATAAAAGGGCTTCTTAGGGAGGCAAAGAAATCATTAAGATTTCAACAATCAGCTGGTAAGATAACAGGGACTGATTAGTTCTTAGATTTAGAGAAATTCATTTAATATTCATGTGTGTTACAGCAGTATCCTCTTCAAGACTCTGATCCTGGAATGAACAGTAGCAGAATCCAGCCCTGAGACAATTTGCAACTTGCAGGCACAGGCTGAACAATACGAACCAAGCATCCTACCAACCACACTATACCCACTTCTCCTAAGTTTTTGTTGTGGGAACTAATGTATATGGGAGTAGTTCACAAGAACTGGTCCTTTACAGTGGCATGACCATGAGGGGGAGTTTGGAGACATGCAGAGGAACTGACTCAAGGAAAAGATGTTTTTTATTTCTTTCTTATATCAGTGTACAATAGCATAGATGGACACACCAGCCTAGCCATCTTTTAGAGAATTCAGGAAAGAGAAACTGGGACTGAAGCTAACAGATGTGAAATCTCGGAGGAAAAAAGGGGAATAGAACAGTCAACAGAAATAGATGTAAAAGAGAAAGGCAAGAAGGGATAGAAATGACCAACAAAACATGGGAAAGAGCAGTAGAGAGGATAAAAAAGACCAATAAGGACAGTAGAACAGCTGAATCACGACATGGAAAGAAAAGGAGCGAAGGTGCTGATTTAGAAAACAATGACGTGAGGCTTTCTCCCCTCTTTCTCCAGCATTTAAAAACACTAACAAAAGTCTGAGTATTCTTTTTTCAATATATCTTAATTATAACAAGACGATGAATTCTTCTTAGACTGATAGGATATGTCAATAATAAAGATGATAATTTTATCTTCCATAAATAGCTTGGAGACTGTGTAACTCAAGGGACAGAACAGTCTAAGCATGAATAATGACAACATTGAAAAAAAAAATCTTTTTTCACAGAGAAAACAGCAACGGCTAGACTTTACAGAAAACAGGTGAAGATTTACTTCTGTCAGGGTCATCACAGTGGAGGCCTCTGTCAAGCTTTTTAAAAGGCACGGTTTAAAATCTTTTCAGTAGAGGAGTCAATGAAATCATAGATATTTCTATCACGCTGTGTTTTGGGCAGCATTAAACAGGGAAGAACACAGCTTATGTCTACTTTCCATTCCAAGACATTAAGAATTAATATTTTTTGGTGCTTCAGTGTGTTTATGAGTTTAAAAAAGCGAAGTTAAGGAATGCAGGTTGGTTAAGTCATGAAATCTGACCAGCTGCAGCATGAATGTGTTCAAAAGAAACACTACTCTCATTCAGCAGTGAGCAAAAGAGGTCAATATACCCTAACGAATATAGGAGATGTGGTGCCAACCATAGCACCAACCATCACTGCACATTAACACACAATATAGAAAACAAAATTGAATTAAGTGATCAAAAC